ACTGCATACCTAATTAACGCTGACCGTTGAGCCGGTGGTCTTGTTATGCTACGGTACCTGTCCATGCAAACCTCCCCGTCCCCCCCCCCCCGCCCACCACCACACACGCATACCTGCGGGTGGCTGCTGTCCACTCCTTCTGGATCCAAGTCGTACGGGGTCAGTAACCCGGTAGGACTTGCATCCAGAAGGCGTGCACAGCAGCCATTCGCAGGTGGGTGTGGTGGTGTGTGTGTGTGTGATGGGCTGCATCGGTGCCGTACCAAATTAACACCGCTACCTCAGCGGACAACACAAGTGTTCGTGCACCGTGCGCTTTCACCTGCGCTACCTTGTGTACTTGTGCGGCGAACGTCGGCGTCTAATCGTTAGTCGTCTAGTCGTTAGTCGTACGCCACACGGTCGTTATCGTCTGTGAAGCTGGCGCTGCTTAAGTAGGCTGTACAGTCCCCGACGCAGATGGTGACTGTATTTAATATTAAACTGTGTAGAACATTTAGAATTTAACGTTGATAACACCGCTGCCTCAGCGGACGGTACACACGTTCGTGCACCGTGCACTCTTCAATGCACCATCGTTTCTGCTCTGACATACGCCGACGCATAACTTCCTCTCTTATGTTCTCCCCTGTCACTGTCCTCGTTTCGAACCACGACCCTCGAAATTCTAGGACCGGCACAAGGTCTACAGTCTCCGACGCTGCTGCAGGCGATTCTACGATTTCGTTGGTCGAGGTTCGACACGATGACGGGGCATAACAGGTTATGCATCGACGCATGTCATGGCATACACCGGCAAGCCTACATACACTTTGCAATCGTACATAACAATGCCTACGTGGTACACCAACAGCGGTGTCGTCACATAGCTATTTAACCGCTGAGCTGGTGGTGTTATTATGGCACGCTACTGCTGCACGCAAAACTCCCCCCCCGACACCACACACACTCACACGGCCACACGCACCTGCTGCTGGCTGCTATGCGGTCCTTCTGAATCCAAGTCATACCTGGTCAGTAACCCAGTAAGACG